TCTCTCCGGCCGCGCCCGGTGCCGGTGCCTGCCCCGCGGGACCGGCGCCATGGCTGCCGACTCGGAGGTGCTGCACTTCCAGTTCGAGCAGCAGGGGGACGCGGTGCTGCAGAAGATGAACCTCCTGCGGCAGCAGAACCTCTTCTGCGACGTCTCCATTTACATCAACGACACCGAGTTCCAGGGGCACAAGGTGATCTTCGCCGCCTGCTCCACCTTCATGAGGGACCAGTTCCTGCTCAACCAGTCCCGGCAGGTGCGGATCACCATCCTGCAGAGCGCCGAGGTGGGCAGGAAGCTGCTGCTCTCCTGCTACACCGGGGCTCTGGAAGTCAAAAAGAAGGAGCTGCTGAAATACCTCACCGCCGCGAGTTACCTCCAGATGGTTCACATCGTGGAGAAGTGTACGGAAGCTTTGTCGAAATACTTGGAAATCGACACGTCCATGGAGAACAGGAATCGGGCCGCAGAGAGGTGTCATTCCTCGGACGCTGAACTGGGAAACGGGGAGGACGTTTTGGATAAAGACTGCGAAATAATCGAGATCTCTGAAGACAGCCCGGTGACCGCGGAATACCCCGTGAAACAGGAGAAGGGGGACATCTCGCAGCCCGCGGTGCAGGGCTTGGTCTCGGAAAGAAAGGACACAAAAACCCCAGAAATATCAACAGTCGAAATCGGATATAAGGACGATGAAATCTGTATCTTCAGAATGGATTCTATGAGCGTAGCGAATGTAGAAAGCGATCATTTTCCTCAGCCTTGCACATCCTCTAAAACAAACTTGTATTTTCCGGAAACCCAGCATTCCTTGATAAATTCCACAGTCGAAAGCAGAAATACCGAAATGTCAGGCAATCACTTTCAGGCTTTTGTCAGTGACAACCCAGAAGGAACTTCTAGCCTGATGAATGGGTTCCAGAGCCTGGAGGATTCTGGCAATTCATGGCGGCACCAATGTCCCAAGTGTCCGAGGGGATTTCTGCATCTTGAGAACTATCTCAGACATCTAAAAATGCACAAACTCTTCTTGTGTTTGCAGTGCGGCAAAACATTTACGCAAAAAAAGAATCTCAACAGACACATCCGCGGGCACATGGGCATCCGCCCCTTCCAGTGCATGGTGTGCCTGAAGACCTTCACCGCCAAGAGCACGCTTCAGGATCACCTGAACATTCACAGCGGTGACAGGCCCTACAAGTGCCATTGTTGCGACATGGACTTTAAACACAAGTCTGCTCTTAAAAAGCATTTAACTTCTGTTCATGGAAGGAGTAGCAGCGAAAAGCCAAACCTGAACACTGTTACGAAAGTTAAAATAGACTATGATTAACGGAGGGGTGGATGTGGAGCCGGGCTCCACAAAAAGCTCCAGCCTAGTGAAATTCCAGATGAAATTCTAGATACAGACCCCCACGTAATGGAGAGAAGCACATATATGTGACTGGTGATCACAGACAGGCCTTGCGAGCAGCAAACTCGCCTGCTGTACTAAGGTTCCTATTGCTGTAGGTGTGAAAAAGGTGTTTACTGATTGAAAGTAAACTGCAAAATACGGGAAATGATTTCGTGCTTCTCTTCTGTTATCCCGGACGCATTCTGATTTCCCCCCCAATTATGTTTTGCACTCCCCTGTTTCAAGGGCAGGCACTGCCGGTTTTCAAACTATTACTGATCTTGCAATAAGCTGAAGCCTGAGCCGTGATGTTCCTGACCTATAACGGCTGAGGAAAGGGGAAGTTTGTATTTATTCAGCGAATCAGTCATTCCCACCCAGTTCACGTACTGTTTATGGCGAAACCATCTCCTTACTTGCCCAAATTTTCCTAGATCTTTCAACAGAAAGAAGGTATGTTTTCATACTCAAGTCTGTGATACTTAAGAAAGAACACACAACAAACAACAAATAATCAAGGAAGCTTTCAAATCGCCTGTTGCAAATAGAGAGTTGGTAAAAGAGAAAGAAACAAACAGTATTGCCTTGCAGTTCATTTTTAAGTGGACAGTCTCATGAGAAGGACTTGCGTTCAGTTTTATAAGTTTATCATTTTTCTGTCATACCAGTGTTTCGCACCTGTATGTGACTAATTCCGATTAAGTCAAGTTCTGTGCGTTGTCACATTTTTTACAGATCTTGGGTACATACAGTAATGTGAAAAATTAAGCTGTGTGCTGTTACGTAATGGCAGTTTCTACATTAATTTTGAAAAACAACCCTTTATATCTTATTAGGAACGGCTTAGACATAGAGTTCTTCTCATACTCTAATTCTGTGATACAGTAAAACAGTAACTAGGTGTGTTTGGGTAGGTGTGTTTGTACTTTGTCAAAGGTCATTCCCGTTTCATCACAAGCATCAAAAGCCCTGTAACGCAGGATCTTTATCCTGTACCTGTCTTTGACTGGTATATGTTTCTTCCGCTTAATGTGATCTGAATAAAGAGTCAATTCAGTTGTTAATATGAGATAACGGTACTTACATTAGATTCTCTCCAGTTAGCAAAAAGCAGTAGTTCTTAATCTCGTCTGTATCTCGAGGGCACGCTTTCCTTCAAGTTTTGAAAGTGCTGTTACGAAGTTCTTGCTCTGTGCCCGGAAGTCTGGCCCGTGTGCTCCGTAACCTGGCTGTTTTTAAAATCCAAGAAAATAGTTTTTAATATCTGTTAACAGGTTTTGCGTACTTTCCTTCCCTGTGTCTGTGAGTGCACTAGCCATTGTTTGGGGTTTTATTTATCAGCTACGTGAGGGGTTAGGTGTGTACAATGTCTGCCATGCAGTTTCCTGTTATTATCTGTAATAGCCATGCTCAGCTGTGCCAGCGTTATTACTGTCTTCATCTCTTGGAAATTTCAGTTGAAGAGTTTTTAAAAACTTGTTTCATGAGGGTTTTTTTAAGCTCTTTATCTGATATTATTAACACTTGAAGTACATATGAGTTGGATTGCAGCAACACCTGCAGGTCCCAGTTCGTACTAGGCCTTGTTGTGGTAGGCAGCCCGTCTTCCTCAAAAACCCTGTAGCCCAAATAGGCCAGGAGCGTGTTGTGAAGCTGGGCGCACCATAGTGCCGTATTCCTCCCCAAATTCACAGAAATGTCTGACTTGACATAGACAGTTGACTTGTGAAGGGCTCCATTGTATTGGATCATTGGAGGTGTGCGTGGCGAGTCTGCGTACCTGGGTGTCCCTATGCGTAATGCCAGAAATGACACCCCAGAGTAAGCAGCTAGTGTAACTGTGAATTAAAATCCCATTTTATCCAGTACTTTAAGCATAAGGCCCAACCTTTCACACTCTCTGCTATTATTTCATATTAAAAGTTGATAATTTGCTTTATTTTGGTGATTTTTAACTATAGTAATTGCCGTGACAATTACTATAGTTAAAAGGTTTGGGAGTCACTTATGGTGCAGCTGCCTGACATTTTGCAAAACATTGCCTTTTATAGCATTGTCTTCTGTTTGCATTCATTACTCTGTCACTGTTAACAGCCTTTTCGGCCTTGTGATTAGTATTGTTCGCTTGTTTTTCACACAATACCATTAATTTTGGATTCTTATTTGCATAAAAATTAAGTCTGATTTCTAAAAGCATGCTAATACCTGCACTTGCCCTTACTGTATTTACGGATGTTAACTTGAGTATACGTACAGGTTTTCATTTGTGTCTACAGACTTAGTTACTTAAAATAAACTCCTTCATCCTTGGAAGAGGTCATAAAACAAGGAAGAGGCTTACTTCCCTCCCCCCATCCTTTTTACATTGGGCTGCTATTACCGTAGTTCAGTAAATAAATGTATTGTGCGTTTATGGGACAGATTTGGTTCAGCTGTGCTTAAATTTGTTCAGTTGGCAGGCATATGATTATCATTGATAATACTTCAAAATATCATTCCCTGGGGTTTTTTTCGACTGGTTTTTATAGGTATATGCATGGGTGTTTCCCCGTGTGTCAAAGGGGAAACAGAAGCTGATCTTTTGAAGTGCATCTTCTGCAGGAGCAGGATTGCAAGTTATTTTGGTTTGCCGTTGTATTGCATGTAAACGCGAGAGGGAGTTGTGTTGTGCGGTGGGCCAACAGCATGTTCTGTTCAGTGGCTAGAGTGTCTTGGTAAGCTTTGTGAACAAAAACTGATTTTGTGCACATGTTCACATCAGTGTTTCTTCTCCCCTCTCCATACATGTAACCACTTGTCCTGTCATAACACAATAAATGAAATGCAAACAAGACATTGTTTCAGAAATACATACGCTTTCTTCTAATCACAGTTAAATAATTCAGTGCATACCTTAGTATTTACTATTTTGCCTTGCTGTGGTGAGTAAACAAGATGTTGTAAACGAAACACAGTGTTCAAGTGGCAGTCATTTTTTCTGTCCTTCAGAAGGGTCTATCAGCAGCACCTGCGTCCCAGATGAATGCTTTCTCCTCAGAAAACACAACTCTACGATGCCTCGACCTTGATTAAAGCACCTGGTTTGATCTTTTGTGAGCGACCAGAGGGGTGAGGTGCTGCCCCCGGGCTTTTCTCTGGGATGGCCTGTGAAAAAGGAGCAACGGGTTGCTCCCGCCGCCGCCTGTGTACCGGGCTGGCCCTGAGGCGGCCTCGCCGGGCCCCCGGCCTCTGCCTGGCGGCTTCGCCTCCCGCCTCGGG